AATAATAATAATAATAATAATAATGATGATGATGATGATGATAATAATGATGATGATAATAATAACTTATTAAACCCCAAAATGTAAAATCGGAATATATCGAATGGAATAAACGAAGTAGAGTGAGATAAATTGAAACTATTCTTAAAAAGATCTAAAACAGGGGTGGGCAAACATTTTGCAGTGAGGGCCGCATTGAGAACTATTTTACCTCTGAAGGGCCGCATATGTACTTGAATAGCAAATTTTTTCGACCCGGGGGAGAATTTTTTAAGGTTTGTGGCTCCTTTTTTTGGTCATAATGTCTGGCTGACGATCTTTTTCTGGCGGACATGTTTGCCCACCCCATGGGCCCACCCCTGTTCTAAAAAGTAAAATGATGAATTTATTAAAGATAGTTTAAAAGAAGTACGGAGCCAGTTGGAGTAACTACAAATTTTTCAATTTTTCAAAAATATGTTAAAACCGTTAAAATCGCCTCTTAAGGTTGTTCTTATTTTATTGGTTTTTATATTAATCTAATTTACAGTTTACATTTGACAAGATACGTTTGATGGCAAAAGGTCAGCTCAAGAATTAATCTTATAAATAATAACTATGATTATATTTAATAACAACAATAATAATAATAATAATAAAATAATAATAATAAAATAATAATAATAATAATAATGGACCTGCGCAGTTGTGTCTGTGGTAGTAGATAAGTTCTGGGATGGTGGAGAATGTGTGCTGGTTGGTGACGTAATACATGTCTCTTGAGTTCCTCTTAATCAAATAGTGCATTACCTGCTCGTCACTTTTCATTGTTGTTGTTTTTTGTTGTTGTTGTTGTTGTTAGTGGTGGTGTTGTTAATGTCACTGTTGTTAAAATGGTAGTTTTTGTTGTTGTTTTCAATTAGCCAGTCAACCATTCAATTAGCCAACAGCGCTTGTAAAGATATATGGATCTACGCATTATTCATATCATATTTCTACTAACCAACCAACCAATCAATCAACCAACCAGCCAGCCAGTCAACCAAACAATCAACAAACCAACTAATCAACAAACCAAACAGCCAACCAACCAACCAAACGATCAACAAACTAACCAAACAATCAACAAACCAGCCAAACAACCAACCAGCCAACCAACTAACCAACCAACAAGCCAAAAAACCAACCAACCAGCCAACCAAACAGCCAACCAAACAATCAACAAACCAACCAAACAACCAACTAATCAACCAACAAGCCATCAAACCAACCAACAAGCCAACAAACCAACCAACCAACCAACCAAACAGCCTGCCAACCAATCAATCAATCAACCAACCGTTCAGCTTTTGTATAGAGGGACAGTGTGTACATCCCAAATTGACTCGACTCCCTGACCAAAAACACCCCCTCCCGTCCGTCCGCCCTCAACAACTCCTCGCTCTGGTAGCGGGAAAGTTTCGGGTAGAACCAACTGAAATGATGAGGAGGATGACGAGATGATGGTGGTCGTTTTTACTACTACTGTTGCTGCTGTGGCTGCTACTACTACTACTACTACTACTACTACTACTAAATATACTACTACTACTAAATAATAATAATAATAATAATAATAATAAAAATAATAATAATGCCAACTCGTATTGGTCGAGACATTCGCCGGTGACCTGCTGAACGTAGTTGGCGGGGGCGTACCCTGTTTTCCTGTATCATCATCATCATCACCATCATCATCACCTTCACCATCATCATCATCAGCAGCAGCATCATCATCTCCAACTCACCCACTACTGTTCCTCATAAGCCACCAGCTTGACTGCTCGTCAATCAGATCGATGACGTCATACTCCTCGCCCTGGTTTTGTTGTGTTTCATTGGTTGGGTGAATTTTTGTTCATTTATATATAAATATTTCATTCGTTCATTCATTTGTTTGTTTGTTCGTTCGCTCGTTTGTTCGTTTGTTCGCTCGTTCGGTCAACAACTACCCAAAAAAAACTACACATTCAATCAATCAATCAACCACTCGATAAACTAATCAATCAAGCACTCAGCCAGCCAATCAGCCAACCAATCAGCCAATCAATCACTCAGCCAACCGACCTTAACAAGGTCAAGGTCGTCTTTTTGCATGGCTTGGTAATTGAAGAGGGCCAAAACCCGAGGGTAAATGTCAGGTCTCGTCTGCACACGATCAGATGACTGTGGATGGATGGATGGATGGATGGGTAAATGAATGGATGAATGAATAGATGGATGGATGGATTGATGGATGGACAGATAGATGGATGGATGAATGAATGGATAAATGGATAGGTGATTGATGATAGATCATACATACATAAAAACATACAAATCAATCTATTAATCAACCGGTGAACCAACCAATAAATAAACCAATGCATAGATGGATTGACGGATAAATCGTTGCATAGATTAATGAATGAATAAATAAATGAATATTCGTATTATAATAATAAATATATATTAATTATAGTTAATTTTACAATACAATGTTCGAAAGTTTATGCATGCATAAACACGTACTTAAATGCATTAGATAATAGTTAATATGTACATAGCTAGTCCCAAATACAGTCATTATTTTCTCAGGTTAATTGCATTGGACGCTCCAATTAATAAATTGGGAGAAAAACTAAAAGAGAGAGAGAGAGAGAGAGAGAGAGAGAGAGAGTAAAGAAAATGAAAGAATAAACGCTTCAAGATAAGAAAAGTGGATGCCTGCTTGTTAACAAATTGCTGGTCAATATTTGTTTAATGCTACCATCGTCACTAGCATCAGAGTTACAGTCATTAAGAGCAACAAAAACAGCAACAACAACAACATCAACAACATCAACATCAACAACAACAACAAAAACATCAACATCAACAACAACAGCAACAACAACATCAACAACATCAACAACAACAACATCAACAACAACATCAACAACAACATCAACAACATTAACATCAACAACAACAACATCAACAATAACAACAACATTAACATCAACAATAATATCAGCAACACCAACAACATCATCAACAACATCAACAACAATATCAACAACAACTTGCGATCTTCTATCGGCGGGCGCGCTTCTGACGGCAAACTTCCTACACTCGGCTAACTTTGTCGTCGTAGTCGTCGCGACTGCAGCTTTTGTTGACGTGGCGTCTGAATTTTTCGCGCCAGCGACATTCGAATTTGTTGTTGTTGCAGTTCTTGTTGTAAAATTTGCTAAACTGTTGTTGTTGTTGCTGGTATTGGTGGTGTGGTTTGGTGAAAATGATTTCTTCGATGGTTTTTTGTTTGAGTTTTTGGAGAAAATTTTTTTGTTCGTGGTCGGAGCTGTGGTCGGTGTGGTGGCGATCGTTGGCGTCTTCGGTAGCGGTATGGTCAGAAGGTCGCCACACGATCCTTCTCGTAATAATTATTTTAATATTTAAAATAATTATTCAAATATTTATAATAATTATTTAGATATTTATAATAATTATTTTGTATTAGTAAATTTTAACATCTTGTTATATAGAGTCATCATCAACATCGTCATCGTCATCATCATCACCATCGTCTTCATCATCATCATCATCACCACCATCACCATCATCATCGTCATCCTCATCACCATCGTCTTCATCATTATCATCACCACCATCACCATCGTCTTCATCATCATCATCACCATTATCACCATCGTCGTTATCATCATCGTCGTCATCATCGTCATCGTTATCATCATCATCATCATCATCATCGTCATCATTATCATAACCTCTTCTCTGCTTGAGGCCATCAAAAAACTTTGCCGAGCCGGGCTGATCCTTCTGCGCGATTTTTTGGCAGCCCTCGGAACTTCATAATTTTGAAAAATAATTAGCAATAATTATAATAATAATAATAATATTAATAATAATAATAGTAATAGTAATAATGATGATGATGATGATGATGATGATGATGACCATATATCCAAGTTAATTTGCGATTTATAATAATTACTTCAAATAAATTCTTTAAAAATTATAAAAGAAATAAATAGCAACAATTTGTTGATGGAGTAGCAGCAGCTGTATTTGCCAGTCTTTTGCCAAACGCCAGGGTGGTACATGAGGCTGAAGCTCGCACCTGATTGGATACAGGCTGGCCAATGAAGTTAGAGGGATTTTTTAGTTAGTTATTTATCTATCTATCTATCTATTCATTCATTCATTCGTTCATTAATTAATTAATTTATTTATTTATTCATCAATTAGTTAATTAATTAATTAATTCATTCATTCATTCATTCAGTCAGTCATTCATTCGTTCATCCGTTCGTTCATTCATTCGTTCGTTCGTTCATTCGTCCGTTCATTCAAAAGGAAAAATTTATTTGAAAATAAATATAAACAAACTGTCG